AAGGCTGAAACCGAGAAGAATGGAGAAATTGCCAGCAGACAGTAGTCGTTCAAGCGGACTGTCCACTTTTCTGGCGTTCGCTTAACATTGGCTGGGTGTGATTAAATAAGGTATCTTGTTCGTTATCTCGTATTCTCGTTGCATGCTTTGGCCAGCTAGTTTTTTATGACGTGCATTCCCCTGATAATGTCGTTCACCCACCTCCTCCAGCCGTAGTACTCTCCCTCATCAGCCACGGTGAAGGATTGAAAACCAGGCTGAAAGATTGGAATTACTGATATTGTACAAGGGGCTTCTAGTAAAAACTTTGATAAAGCACTCTTTTTCTTTATTTTTATTTCCTTTGACACATCCGCAGATTTGACGAAAAATTACTTATTTTTATTTGGTGCAATCACTAGTTAAAGTTTCGTGGAGGGAAGTCCTAACTTATGTTTGAGTTGGATGCCCACATCCTGTGACCTGGCTTAGGCGTACCCCTGCCTGTAAATGGTGAGAGTATGGCTTTGATAGATAGTCAAATTCAACATTCAAGTGCAATTTACAAAAAAATTCAAACATTTTAGGAAACTGGTCGAGTCGGGCAATTAACGATCGCGCTTGTCCTTGTCCAGTTAGCACTTGATGATTCTGTTGCCGCTGCAAAGAGTTTGCAGAATTCTTTCAAGTTGGGTTTACGTTTTTATCAAAAATACCTTGATGGCTGCTAAAAAAGTTTATCGCTGAGTTTACTTTTGTCGTTATTATTCGACACTTGTCTATTAATATTAAGTACTGTTGGTCGTAATCATCACTAAAAATTATTTGTCATTATTATTTATTGGTGGCCGTTACTATTGCCAGTTGTTATTTTTTTCATCAAGATATCTGTTGCTTTTCAGTGTTTGGCGAAACAATTTTATTTCCCATTTTATCGTGGTCGTCGTTTTTTTTTTTTTTGTTTTTATTTCGATTATCACTACTTTGTTTTACTGCTTGTCTTTAAGCGAGGGTGAAATTTAGTGTATTAATTTAGATGTGGTGATTTCGAAATATCGGAAGAGGCAAATGCGTGTAATGCACTGATCTCAGCTTATGAATCCGGCGATAACAATCGCTTTCAGGAAGTCCTTCGGTGGCCGCTTCTGAGGAGCATGGATAATGAGGTTTGTGTTTCCGACCGTTCCTTGAAACTGCTTTGTTTTTCGGATGTTTCTCGGCAGAACTGATTTCTGTAAGAACGAAATAAAATGCAAAACTGTCGACGTATCGAGATTCACAGTTAATATTTTCACACATAACACAAAGTGAAGAAACCTGTAAAATCAAGAAAATAAGTAGCATCTCCTCTTGTAGTTATAATTCGTAAAGAGTTAACTGTGTTAAAACTTTTGAGGATTTACATACGCTGATTGATGTAATTTACTCGATTTATCGCACTGACAAGCAAAAATGATTGCTGCTCAAAAATTTTTCTTTTTTTAGTAC